TTCGGAAGGGTGATTCAGGACGCTCGTTACACGTTCATCAACGTCAGCGGCAAGCTGCTGCCTCTGAACGAACTGCTGAAGTACGCGTCCGCGTTGCAACGCAGGTCGACCGTCACCGAAACGCTGCGCGAGTACTCCGAGGGCCAGTTCAGGTCCATGTACTTTTTTCCGGGGGCGTACACGCCGCGCGACATCAAGCGCATTAGATACATTGATTTTGCGACCAGCTCCGAAATCCTGCTTAGGGATCAGTACTCTCGTTGGGAAAGAGATCACGAAGTGTCAAGGCATACGTTGACCACCTAGCGTGGCGTTCGTTTTCTTCCGGTCGGTGAAGCTTTCCGTTTCCGCCTCTCGTTGTATACTACAAATCTTCTCCGATGTCTAGTCACCAGTTTGTACATATTTAGACATATTCGTTCTCAGAGTTTAACGATTTTGTTTTGTTGTGCTATAAGAAAGCCTGAATGTCGCACACGTCGTTGTCCGTGCCGTCTCTTCGCCCCTGCCTGAACATAAGTGTCGCTGTTGATTGCGTTTCGATTTCTATAGAGCTTTCGTTAACTCCTTTTCTAATTATGGAAACAAAGAGTGTCCACTTAAACGACAGACAACAATAAACTGCAGACGAAAATCAATCTTTTTCAAAACTGCCTTCTGAGGCAAAAAACTGTAGGAAAATGTCGTGCAGTAAAGCTAGAAGAGCGTCATCTTCCATTACCACTTCTCCTTTCGGCTTGCGGAGGAAGACACGGCAGACAGTGCTTCCAACGTTCCCAATCTTGGGCCACAGTCTGAGCTTTGGCAGAAGACAACTGGAGTCTGGAACAGACTCCTTCCATATATTTGCATCAGGTTAATCTTGGCCGTCCCCTGGGCCTTCTGCCGGTCGGTTTTACAAGACAAAGTTGCTTAGCATTCCTCTCTGTAATTATGTTCTCAATGATATTAAACATAATGAATTTAAGTAATTAATCACAAGAAAATTGCGGACAATCAGTGACACAAACTAAATAGCGGAAACTGGCCAAATAGTGACCGTGAAGACTAGTTAAAAGAGACTGGTTGAAATCTGGAGCTCAATAATAACAAACAAAATTAATAATAAATAATATTAGACTTATGTGTGCTGTAACTGTTGCATAACCCTTGCTTTCAAGTACGATATGCGAGGATTCCTTGATGACGATTCGCAGATGGTGTTTTCCATCGTCTGCTATGCTGTGCTCAGTGCGGTTACAATCAT